CGGTTCATGCAGTTAATTCCTGTCTTGCTTGATGTTAATGAACATTTTAGCTCAAGAGTCCTGAACATTTTTCCTCTATTTTGATGTCACAATCTCTAAAGTTATCAGAAACCTGCATTCAAGAGCCCCTGTTAGAGCTTTATAGCTGATTATAAAATCACCTTCTAAAGAGGACCAAAATGGCCTGGCACAGTGACTCACGCCTGTAATTCCAGCACTTTGGGAGGCTGAGGCGGGTGGATCACCTGAGGTCAGGAGTTCAAGAGCAGCCTGGCCAACATGGTGAAACCCCATCTCTACAAAAATACAAAAATTAGCTGGGCTAATTGAAAGCCAAACCCCATTTTATATTTGGCAATGCTTCCTATATGATTTTTGGTACCAAATAAGCCAAATTTCACCTTTACATTAGTGTAGTATTAATGTTAAAATTCTTATTAAAACCTCGTAGACGGCCGGGTGTGGTGACTCACGCCTGTAATCTCAGCACTTTGGGAGGCTGAGGCAGGCGGATCACCTGAGGTCAGGAGTTCAAGACCAGCCTGGCCAAATGGTGAAACCCTGTCTCTAAAAAAAAAAAAACCTCGTAGACATATTTACCCAATTTTAATGTTTGACTATTAGGTAAGATTTTTACAGACTGTTTATAACCCTTTACAATTTTTGTTAAGGAGCAGGTTATGCTTTAAGAGAAACCTGTTGTGCTTTTATTTTAAAATAATGCTCAATTTACAGAAAAACTGGATGGTACCCCTTTAATTTTAGCCTGTATGTTTACACACAGAATTTCCTTTATAGCCAACCTTCCACAACTTGCTTAAACCTTCATCTTTATTTTATCCAACTTAAAACAATTCTTTAACCTTTTAATCTAGGCAAAAATCCACATTCACATCCCTCCTTATAATCTTTTTACCAAAAGCATATTTTACTTTCCTTACACACATTGCATTTAAAACTATTTCTTCAGGCCAGGCATGGTGGCTTGCACCTATAATCCTAGCGGTTTGGGAGGCCAAGGTGGGCAGATTACAAGGTCAGGAGTTTGAGACCAGCCTGGCCAACATGGTGAAACCCCATCTCTACTAAAAATACAAAACTTAGCTGGGCATGGTGGTGGGCGCCTATAATCCCAGCTACTCAGGAGGCTGAGACAGGAGAATCACTTGAAACTGGAAGGCAGAGGTTGCAGGGAGCCGAGATTGCGCCATTGCACTCCAGCCTGGGCAAAAGAGTGAAACTCCCTCTCAAAAATAAAAATAAGAACAACTGTTTCTGGCTGGGCGTGGTGGCTCATGCCTGTAATCTCAGCACTTTGGGAGGCCGAGGCAGTCAGATCACCTAAGGTCAGGAGTTCAAGACCAGCCTGGCCAACATGGTGAAACGCTGTCTTTAAAAAAAAAAAAAAAAAAAAAACTGTTTCTTCAGTAGTCTTAAATACATGTTATACTGTTAACTCTTAGCAACCTTTACTTTTAGTGAAAACCTTGGTAAGTTTGGGATTTTATGTACTAGGTGTAGAGCCTAAAACCTAGACTGAAGTGCAGATAAGCTCTGACTTATTCCAGCCTCTGAGAGTCATAGTGGCATTTTATAAAGCATTTAGAAGACCTAATCACCTTTAAATTGTACAACATTTGTTACAATTTGTACAATTTGTTACAACTGTACAACATTTGTTAGAAATTCCCTTTCATAAATTATTTCATGACTTACACAGACAAGCTATGACATACCTTGACTTGCTTACTTTTCCTAAACATCCCTCTTTTTAAACATCCAGTTACTTTACTTTAGGACAAGAATTTACCATACAAGATCCTTTCTCATATAAAA